TTTAATACAAAACATTAACATAAATTCTATTCGGCGATATTTGTAATAGTATTTGTAACTGAGCAGCTTCAATGATTATAAAATAGTTATTCGTGTATCTAACAAGATCATAAAGGAGATTTTTTCGCCCGATCTGAAGTTCAGATGATTAAGTGACACTTCGTGGACGTGGCCTAACATATTATTTTTGTCCGACAATGGTACAAAAAAATTCACTCATCTTAATGTGTCTGTAAAAAAAACTGTAGGTACAGCAATTTATATCACGGTTCAGACTACAGGTGTTCTGGATTTAACGGTAGCGGGCGCGTATTACCCGAATATGATTACGTTTTATTTGATGGAGGTTGATTTATTTCGTATTCCGGAAAGACGGTCCTACATAGCTTTTTTGAAAAATATGGTCTCGTGCAACTTGTTGATGCCTACTCGTGTTACAATTGATGGCCCTACCTTCTTGGATGTTTCCGTTACGAACAACCTCAACGTGATCAGTGGGTACGAAATTATCAACGTAGATGTAATTCGGACCACAAGCTTGACTGTGTGAGTTAAGAATTAAAAAATCTAAAATTCTACCGAAATATCCAGTCTTTAGAAGGTTTACTAACGTTTAAATAACTGCATTCGAGATCTAATGATCCCAAACTGGTGCTCCTTATCTGAGCAAGATTTCTTAAATATTGTTCTAAACGTTCTACGTTGTAGTTATTAGTCTCTTAAAAACAATGGTTGACCGACAGTGTAGAACTAATCATCATTAAACCAAATACAAGAAATGTCTATAATGAATACAAATCAACTAACTTTATTAATGTGTGCATTAAGACTGAGAAAAAAAAATCCATTTAAGAAAGAACTCCAAAGAATTTTGGCCTTCTATACGTTGCTTTAATGTTAATTCAATGACGAATCAATAAAAAGTGGTTGTTTAATATATAGATTATTAAAAGCATTCCTAAAATTCAAAATTCCAACTAAGAATGTATGATTTTTATCAGAACTACAAATTTGCTACTAATTTGGACACTTTTTTTTCTACTGTTAATATAAATGATTGATGTCTTGCAGGTTATCATGGTCCTTCGTAAGATTGAATATCTCATATAAATTTGAGAATGTTACATCTGGTTGTACACAGATGATACGGATTTGACTGAAAACATATTAAATTTCTTAAGCAGTATCTCACGAATCTATGCCAAACCGTTTTCGGCAATGGTTTCCCCAAGGTAGTACTCCCGGACCTTTACTTTTTGGTTTATATGTCGCAGACTTTTGCAAACACGTAAATACTCGATTCCGCACCAATAAGAAATTAATTAAGTAAAACCAAAAGTCAGGAATCTCAGGATTTCGAAATAGCGGTATTAACTTGGTTAGAATTTTAAAATCTGGTGTTTATTATCTTTGATTGAGAAGAAGTTCTGTTACATTTCGAGTTTTCATTAGTTGCACATGTTTCAGTAGCATTTCTTGGGCTTACTCGAGAAGTTCAGATCACCAGCTTTCAGACAAACAATTTTTCCAGAAATACATTTTCTTAGTTCAAAATTTCGCAATTATTTTTTCAAAATCAGGTATTAAGATTTCAAAATTTTAGAATTTAAAATTCTAGTTTTGAATAATATATAAATTCTGAATTGCAAACGCGATGTAGTGTTTATAAATGGTGAGTGACGGACAATACATTCCTATAAAATTAAAAGTTTTCGGATGTAAGATTTCAAAATTTGAGAATTCAAAATCCAGAATTGTATTTAAATTTATGGAAATTTCAAAATTTTGATCATTTATATATATTTAACGAATAGGTCCTGCTATCATGGTTAGAACTTAAGTGTTTCTAAATTGAAGTGGAAATTATACAATAAATTCATTCGAAATGAAAATTTTCAAATATAGGATTTAAAAATTTGAGAATTTAAAATTTAAAATTTCGAAAATTTTTGAATAGATCATTTATATTTTTCGAATAGTTCATGGTTTAGGGTTTATAAATCGATTGTGTACACTCTAAAACAAATTCATTCAAAATTAATGTTTCCAGAACTAAGATTTCCATATATGAAAAATCAAAACCCAAAATCTATTACGGAAATTGTAATATTAGGGGCCCCAACGTTCTTTAAAATTCTTTGAAAAACATAACACTACGACCCCCAAGATATTTTCGATTTTTTTCAAAAATAAAGACACCAAGGACTAACAAGATTTTTTCAGACTCTTCCAAAAACTAAACACCAGGAGTCCCCAAGATTTTTTTAAACTTTTCCAAAAATAAGATACCTGGGGCCCTCTAGATACTTGCACCTTAAAAAAAAGGAAAACAAGACCCCGAAGATTTTTTTCACACTCTTAAAAAAATGTACTAGGGGCCACCAAGTTTCTATGGAACTCTTCCAAAAAGAAAACACCAGAAGCTCATAAGATCTTTTCGAAATTTTTACATCGAAGACCCCTAAGATTTTTTCGCGTTTGAAAAAAAGACATTAGGAGCCCCAAGATTGTTCTCAACTCTTTCAAAAACAAAACACCAGAAAATCCCAAGATACCTTTCAGTTCTTTTATAAATAAGACACTACGACCTCCTAAGATTTGTTCACATTTTCCAAAAAAATAGACACTTGTGGCCCACAAGGTTCTTTAAAACTTTTCAATTACAAAACACCAGTAGTCCCAAGATCTTTTCCATTCCTTTCAAAAATAAGGCACTAGAAGAATACTTGAAATCGTAAGATTCCTTAAAAGTCTTTAAAGAAACGAAACATCAAGCTACAGAACGTTTCGATTTTTTTCAAAAATAAGACATCATCATCACTTTTGAGAAATAAACACACAATGTCGTGATATTAAAATCAAATTATTGTCGATGATAAAGAAACAAATTGTGTAAACCTATACACAATAACCATAAAACGTAAAATTCCACAGAAATCGATTCAGTACTGATATAGACTGTAAAATTTTCTATTATCATTTCAAACTAAATTTATTTTAAAAATATCTCGTCAACCTTGTGGAGGAAAAAAAATAAAATTCTAGCTGCACTTTATTACTTTACGAATATTTTTTTAACATGTTCCAAAGATTCTATTATTATTTTTATTTATAACTGAGGGAAGAAAGTGAAATTGAAAGAAAATACAGCTCTAGAAACACTCGCGTCGCTATAGTTAGTTTTAGAAACAACTTTGACATTTTTTATTACATACATTGTAAAAATTCTGTATAAATTACAGCCTTATTTTTGTAAAAGACTACATAAAACTGAGATAACTGCATTATTTTTGTAAATAGCACAATTTTTGATGGCTCTTTTGACAGCTTGGATTGAGTTGTAAAGTACAAGATTCGAATTAAATATATTTAAATGTGTATAAACCGACGGATAGGTTTTACATATTTATAAAACATTTGTGGTTAGCATAAATATAAGTAAGTAAAGTAAACGAGTATGTTTTTTATAGATACGTTGCTTTAATGAGTCATTACTATGTAATCGGCGCTTCTTTTCATAATCGCTATCTTTGTGAGAATATAAGTTTCTCATGCTTGAAATATTACAATGAAATATAGCCACCGGAAGTATTAAAAGAGTATTTAAGAACGCAAGCATTAAAATAACTTAAACCCATGTTACGCTCGTTTAATAGCTAAATCAACAAATAAAATTAGAAAATAATTTCGGTAAAAACTTAATTGAACAAGGTATTAACTTAAAACGGAAGCCACTAATAGGTAGGTATACAACCGGTGTGTTAATTGTCTATTTCAAAAAACATATGTATTCATGTACAATTAAAATTGTATCTCATCATCTACTAAAATTTATCTCGCAGGCGGCCAAAACATGATGTTTGTCGGAAGTTAAATATTAGAAAATAGAAAGATATAATTTCACCAGGAGTTTAAAATGTCACGTGTAACTGTTTTATGATATATACCTAAAACACTGGTGCCAAAATCAAAATACGTATTTAATTGTTATTTTAGGGCTGTATTTTCAGTAAAATCCTCTACTTGTTTATATGCTATGGCGAATTGATGAAATAAATAGCCTATCACTGTCTGCAATGACATAGACAAAACACATTTTAACTACAATACCTATTAATTTTCATAATATGTATAATAATTGGTGGATTTAAACGAACCGTCTATCTTTGCATTGCTGGTTATGTATTTTGACAAAATGATTAATTAATCTTCGTCCTAAAAAATTCTAATCAAAAGTGTTTAAATTAAAACTGATTTTGATGCAAATGCATTCGTACAATACAACAACGTTACTTAATTGACGTTAACGGTAATGTTCTAAAATGAACAAATGGAGTTGGCTTGACAACCCTTCTGCATATACATATGTATATGAATGTATGATTTAACCGAGGAAGTTGTAAATCATGAGCAAATATTGCCTTTATTCTTCATAATGAACGCAGCAACAATGTAGAAACACAATGGTCGTTGGCTGGTTTTGTTCCTATTTAAATTGAACGCGTGTAAATGCATCAGTCAGCAAATTATTGAATTGCGAATTATCCACCCCGTCTGGTAAGAATACCAGCGGTGAGGTACAGAGATCAGAGAGAACACCGAAACCTGTACTAAACTGGTCGCCCATAAGATTAACGCACGAAAAATTCAGCACCCAACGATCAACATTCATCTGACTCGCTGTGAATACCACATCAACTGTGGATGAATTCGCTGCGAAACTGGTTTAATGCCGTTAATGCAGGAGTTCTAAACATTTTATATGACTTCTTATCGCTCCTTAAATTTAACAGTCTTTTTATTACTGTTCCTGCCGTTTTTCTCCTGATACGGCCTAGTACCGCTCATCGTCTATCATAAAGATACCCACTACGTTACTAACATCTATCTATATTGTGGAAGCTATAAAACCAAAGCACATTGTGGATGTAAAAAGGATATGTCAAACGTTACCTTCTATTGCCATAATCGCTTTTTAACTGTGTAATTTATTGTTACAGGGATAGACGAAGTGGCCGTACAACTGCAAGAACCCGAATCAGCTTCGTTTATATCACGAGGAAGTGACGTAACGCTCAGGTGTCACACAGATGCTTCCGGAGATGTCCACTACGAATGGTTTCGGTAAATAATTAATTCAATTAGAGAATGTGATAACGTAGAGTGGTAAATTTGGCGAGGGTTATTCTACTTAGTTTCGATTAGCAGTCTCTGCATCAAATAAAACTGTTTTCATCAATCAATATTCGGTCTTTATACCACTATTGACACAACACCAGGTATATTGAATTTCATTCTTTAATCCTTATATTACTGTTCTTTGTTTTAGAGATTTCAGAAGTTCATTGTGTTTGATAACACAATATTGAACTTTACTGAATAAACAGAATCAATTCGTCTAATTTTATTTGATGATTCACTTTATTCCATTTATCGTATTGCTTCTTACAAAGAATAATAATTTTTGTAGTACGTCAGTTCGTTCAACAGAATAATAGATTCTTAGATACTGAATTAACCAGTGAACCGTTACAATTTCAGTCAATTATGCGTCTTAATAGACAGATAACAATAATAAAAAGCAACCACTTGATGAATTAAATTTATCGTTTCAAGTTATATGTAGATACAAAAAAATATGAATATAGCGATCATCAGTATTTCAAAAACCAAATATTTACTATTTAACGATGATATTACAAATGAATTAAGATTCACTGCAATTAATAAATGGTACACACATATTTCTCAAGAACGTTTGTTTTAAAAATATCACAAAAATTCGAGAAAATTGGAATAACGTGGCAACGTCCCTTCGGAATTTCAAAAATAAACTATAATTATAAAGCTTAGGAAGAGGCTAAGTAAAAAATGTACGTATAACACAATAATTTGACAGCAACAATTAAAATCGGTTTAAAAACTTCCGAAACCAAACTAAAATCATTTTGGTGTTTAGATTTGTGTGTTCTAGAAGAAAAAACGAATTTAGTTTATTAAAGAAATGTTGTAGACAGGTTTTTAGAAAATAGTGGTAAAAAATTTGTTCAATGAAATGATCTTTAAATCTTCACGATAAGTTTAAGCTAGATTAAAATAGCTTTGGGGAAGTTAGCGATTTTAGACTTTTTGCAAAAATTGCAAAAATTTTACAATTATTATCAGTTGAATGTAATTGGTTACATTATTATTAGTGCTCAAATAGTATCTTCCATTGAATAACAAAATTTCTGTTGAATCGTTTGCCATGAATGTTTCAATCACACCCAAACGTCATTATTAATAATGTAAAGTTTACACAATATCCACGTTAAAGTAGTTTGTTACAAAATAAAATTTTGGAACACTAATATTTTTCAAGATTCTGAGTATATCTTGTTTATTTGTGTGTGAAAAGGAACATTCTGTAATAAATATAATCAGGGAGTACAACAAAATTGTGTCGAGCTGTACGTATATAAAAAGAAATTCAGTTGCAGGTCTTCATAATTTTTTAAATCTTGAATTTAGAGTCTTTTTATTAATGGAAGATTCACTTAAAATTTTTAGGCAATGATCATCTTTGATTTCTGTAGTTAGTATGATTCAAATCTAAATAAAATACAAATTCAATTAAAAATCGTACAAAAAAAAAGGAGTGACTAAACGGATTCAAACTTGTAGCTTTATTTAACAAGTTGATTTATTTTTTTAAACACAAAAGAATAAAATTTGGGAGGAAATCCTGTCGGGGGCTGAGAACTCACCCAATATTTCGTTAGCTCGGTAGCGCCGAGACACCCGTGGATTCGGCGCGTATGTAAACAAGCACGTGTCACATACTTGCTAGCTCTAACACGTTGCAGATGTTATGATTGCTAATTAGTTAACTTCTCGATGACAGGGTAATAACTGAAACTACGTATAAGAAAAACACTAGTATTTCTGACACAGCATTGTTACTGTTAGGCGACTGAAATAATATTTATTTCAATGAAGTAATACGGTTTTCCCCAATTGTAAACAGTGCTATATTGTCGGTAGCTCTTTTGGTATAGTACGACAGATAATTATTCAAGTCTTCCCTTTTGGTAAAAAGTGCTTCAAAATTTTATGTATTTTAATTATTTCGATTTTTCAGTTTTTTCAAGTGGAACACCGTGTATTTTATTACTGTATCATACTCTAGTTTTTGTCCTCAGTCTTCCAATATGTCCATGTTTCCATTAAAAAAGTAAAGCATCGTCGTTACCGTCAACTTTAAATAAAGAAAGTACTCAGCAAAAAGAAAGAGAACAAAAAATAAAGTAAGATGGTCACTAATGAAATATAGGTGTTCTGTTTGAAAAAACTAAATTTTGGTACATAAAAAATGTCGGTATTTGAAAATTGTAATAATTAAAACATTTTTATAAACACCCTGTAGATGAAAATTTAATATCATTTATACCACAACAAATCGCCTACCTTTCTTTATCTTTGTACAAAATGCTGTGAGAGATTTTGAAAATAACCCTACTTTTTTTGTAAAGAAAATGTCAAGAAAAAGGATTTAGCTTGATTACGAAAAAAATTTACCATTTTGGACATGTTTTAAGTTTCTTTTTACCGAAATAAGTCTACACATATTATGAAAAAAAAAAAGGAAAAACGGAAGAATAAAAAAAAATCGTCACAATTGAGGTGGGGAGGGTGGGCGGGGTAAGAAATAAGTATTTTACATAATGAATTCGCCATTGGTTCACGGCGAATAAAAAAATCATCACAATTGAGATAGGGCGAGTGGGCAGGTTTACATTTTGCCTTTTTGTTTTAATAAGTGTTTCTTTTCACAACATGAAACTTAAAATATGTTTGAAATGTAAAATTTGTATAAGAAAATATCAATTTTGGAATTAGGCTCCGCCCCATAATTGCAAAAACCATATTTTCTTGCAAAAATGTACCATTTTAACCATGATTTAGTTTCTTGTTGTGAAAAGATGGCTATGTATATCAAGAAAAAAAAAACAATATAAGCCCCGCCCACCCACCCGGTCTCAATTGTAATGATTTTTTTTTTATTCGTCGTGAGCCAAGGTTCGGAGCTTAACTGCAAAATCCTTATTTCTCTACGGGAAATTAAAAACATGTGTTTGAGTATCGTGTTGTTCAAAGAATGCTATGTACATTAAGAAAACAAGGCAAAATATAAGCCCCGCCCACCCACCCTGTCTCAATTGTAATGATTTTTTTTATTCGCCGTGAGCCAAGGGGGCAGAGCATAACTGCAAAATCCTTATTTCTCTACGAGAAATTAAATACATGTTTTTGAGCATCGTGTTCTTCAAACAATACTATGTATATTAAGAAAAAATTAAAGCCCCACCCATGCCTGTCCTGATCTAAATAGTAATGCAGTTTTCATTTGTTGACAGACCTAGGGGCGGAGCCTAATTGCAAAATCCATATTTCCTTACAAAAAGTTACCATTTTAAACGTGTTTTAAGTTTCTAAGAATAAAAAAAATCATCACGATTGAGATGGGATGTGTGGACGGAGTTTGTATTTTGCGTTTGAACAAGACGATCCTCAAAAACATGTTTTTAATTTCCCGTTCCAATGTTGAATATATTGTGGATAAATCTTATAACCATCCTAGAGTGGATAAAAGCTAGTTTTTATTAATTTGTTGAAACACTATTTTAATACTTTCTGAGAGAACTCATGTATTGTATACATACTGTACACTAGTTTTAATTTTGTTACGTTGATTAATTTAAAAACTTTTGAACTGATAACACTCGTTAAAACCTTTTTGTTACAATCTGCTCTAGATTTGTATTAATAATAACAATAATAAAGACAAATCGCATCAAAAATCAAATTCAAGAGGTGTATGTGTGATTTTCACGTAATGAACATTAGAAGAAAATATCTAAATTCATAAAACAATGTTACATCAAAAATGAAAGCTGTTTCGCATTTCGCATATTAATCATTTAATAGTAGAAAAATTAATCGAAAGTTATTGCGACAGAACTTGCCTCGCCTGTACCTTTCGATTTTTTTTTGAGACAGTTTGGATGCCTCGGAGTAAACCTCAAGGCAGGTTCATAAACCACCAGTACAGTGTATATTATTTAATTTTTTAAATCCTATTTACTACACAAAATTTTGAAAACAATTGATCATAGATAACGGTATATTTTTATCTATAATAATCATATTAATAAACAAGAATGCAAATATCGCGAGAATAATAACTCACATCTTTATTTTTTCCCTCCTTTGCCAATGGGAAATATAAAATGTAATTATAATTAATTATTATATGACGAGGTATTTTATGTAAATTTAATACCTACATGTGTGTTATGAAAATTTATAAAAATATTTTCTCATGTTTCATTGTATCATAATCATCTATAAATTTACGCTTCTTTATGCTTCGTTAAATCTTTATTATTAAAATTTTATAGCTTGCAACAGTATGCACTTTCCGATTATTGGCAAAAATGATAAATTCTTGTTTGTATTAGATACAACACGATAAGAGCTAGAGCTTAACAGATTGTTGACCTGCAAGTGGAGACAATTTAATAAAATAACAACAATAAATAAATAAATGCAAGCAAATAAGATAATAAACAAAAATCGCATATGGTATTCCTTCGTTTCATGATGTTTCTGCCGGCTCTAATGATTTCTGATGTGGAGAACAGCAAACAACAAATTCTGAAAGTCTTTTGTTTAAATTTTTGTACTTATAAAATTAGTTTTTATCGAGGATTGTCAAGAAAAATTTCTAGCAACTACTACAACTATAGTTGTAGTTTTAGAATTGATCTTCTTTATCAACAGGTTGTTGAAATATAAACACCACGTTTGTTGATATTTAAACACCTTGTGCTGATTGCGAACAAAAATTGGGGAAATTGTATTTTTAGAAATATCGATTTTATTTTTTTTTAATTTTTTAAATCATGAAGGACAGAACTCGATTGAAGTTTTTATTTAGAGTCACTATAGTCTATATTTATTCGTGTAGCTCGAATTTGTAATACTCATTCATAACCCAAATTATAATTATTGTTTAAATGATCTGAAAGACAAAAATTTATTAGGAATATTGTTGTCACTGGGATATAAAAAAGTACTTGTTTGTGTATTATTTTGATGTAATAATTACAAGTCACTCTATAAGTTGTTTTACAATAAATTAATAAAAAATAATCAAGTGATTATCTTTATTTACTGTCTCACTAGAGAACTAAATTGCGCGAAGTGAATATGTTCGTTGTAACAACCTATTGTAAATTGATTATCAGAAATTAAACAAGTTAAGCTAAGTTTGCAGTAAACAGTTAGAAAGAGAGAACGCAAACGAAGAAAAATAATTTGAAACACAAACGGATCAGTTTTGCCAAATGTGAGTTAGTAAACATTTAATACTTGTTGCGTTGGACCATAATTTTAAACGATCTCTCTCAATGTAATTTATGTTTACAACATTAGAGACACTGGTGTAAAGATATATTCTACAATCTATACAAACATTGAATTTGTCAATTAATGAAACAAATTATAAAATCGATAAATGTCTATTTTAAAATAGAATTTATTAGCAATTTTTACCCGTCTGATTAATTAAATGCAAATAATAATCCATTTTCACCAATCAGAAAAGTTCTAAAGCACACTATAAATCTGCAACGCGTTTAAATGTCAATATTAATAATTACGATATTTATCTCAGTCCTCATTAAACCAACTGACTTTTAATATTGCATTGTCAATTATTTGCCGCCTAATATAAATGCGGATCAGACAAAGAACAACAATTTTTGATTAAACGCGGTCGGGTTTTATAAAACTTTATCTCAAACGGAAACAGGTGTGGAATCTGCTGCAAACTAATAAGCAAGTTTCTGATTTAATTAATGAATAACGCGATAATTTTAGTTATGTTATCAGCAAATACGATGTTTTTATTCTTCCAGCAATTCCGACCGCCTCATAAAGAACGATAGAGTGGAAATCAAGAAAAAGAGACTTCACATCAAGAGCGTAGGACCTTCCGATAATGGCATATACCGGTGCTCAGCTAATAACACAGCAGGAACACGTCACAGTAACGTAAATTTCGCTCTTGCGGTTGCAGGTGCGTTGTAAAGTTCACTACATTATGTTACATTACATTCACGTTATGCTTTTCATGTAGGTGATCAGAGTGCTTTAATCCAAGTGGTTCCAAAGGACCAATTAGTACGTAAAGGTGGGACGGCGTATTTCGATTGTCAGTACTCGCAAGCTGAAGTGACTCAGTGGTACTTCAAGAAGGATACGAGACCACTAGAAAATAACAAAAAGTATAGTGGTTTTGATTGTTTGCTATATTAGGTACTAATATTGTTTTTTTTTAGATATGTTATTCATTCTAATGGTACTCTTCAAATCAATGATGTTCATGGCACGGACAAAGGAGTTTATAGTTGCGTTGGGATCCGCAGCGAGTCCACCGAAGTGCCTCAGACTTACATTGCTGAATTAAAAATTGCTTGTAAGTACAGACCATTGACCATTATTTTTGTTGTTGTGAAAACCGGTTCTAAAATAATTAGTACCTAGTACATTATAGAATTTTGTACATAAACTAAAATTATTTTCGACTATACAGAATATTTTGTTTTTGAGTTCGTTGTTTTTTAAGCATCATCCTATCTACGTGTCTTGCTTAATCTTTTCTTGGATTCTATAGCAATATTTTATTTTTAAAAATCTAAGGTTGCATTGCTAAGTCGCAAAAGGTATATTTTTAATAAATATTTTGGAATATTTTATGGATATATAAACAAAGGTATACCGTGAAGGTTTTTTTCTCTGAACATAGGATAGTTCATGTATGTTGGGTTGCATATTCATCCTCTAATGGATTGATTTGGACTTTTAAAATCTGAACATAAGATCACATAAGATTCGTAATAATTGAGGAGTAGGCCATGTCAACGGTGACATTTACAGTAAAATTTTTGACGAAATTTTTTTAAGAAGGCCAATAACGTAAATTTTCTGTTCTTTAAACTTGTACTTATTACAATACCTTAACATAAAGACAGTAGTGCCAAATGTCAATGGCAATATCTTTGACATATCCTAAATCTCGATTAGATTTTATGTTCAGTTTTTAATAATCCAAGTCCACAGTATAGCAATCAATCAGTATGGTCAACTCGTGTCGGCATCTTTGATCTTTCTGACCCGAATTTTAAGCCGTCATCGGTGGTCGTTGCCCAAAATATTTCTAGATGTCGCCACCCCATTTAAAAAGGATCACAAACGCTTCATTTTAAAATTGATTCGTGTTCACAGTTTACTACACTTTGTGCAAATTAATTTTTGGAAAAGACTTAAAAATAGTGTAATAACAATAACATTTTGTAACTAGTTGATTTTAGAAACCACACAGTCTATTATAATAAATAATTAATTAGGCACCCTATAACAGAGATGCCGTGTTAAAATTTAGATGTGGCCCGCTTCTCTGATTACGATTTTACGTTTCATTAATTTCTTTTTCATGATGGATGTAAATGGTTGTAAAATTCAACGTTATTAGAAAACGCTAATATATGTACATTTAATTTTTTTACAAAAAAATTAAACAGTAAACAATGGTCCTATGAAAACGTGAACAACGCTTTTTAAAATGTCTGTGAAAATTACACTTAACTGCAATAATTACACCGGAAAATCAGCCTTAAATCATCAAAAACGATGCAACTAAACTGCCAAATTTCAAATATTTCACATTAAAGTCACTAGATAACCAAAGTACCGCAGTTCAATGTCCCAATGTGTGAGAAAGAGAAGTACCTTGCGTTGCGCGCTCTCATACGGTCACAAGACAAACGACCACCCATGAAAACGGGTCAGTAAAAATAGCGAGTTGTCTCTACTGATTGATACCTATACTGTGCCAAATCAATCCATTACAAGCAAGTATGCAACCAACTTAACATTAATTATCCTATGTTTAGAGAAAAAAAAACCTCACGGTATATTTTTTGTAGTGTCAATCAACTTGAGTTTTATTATACAGAAAAGACAAAGACGGAAAATATTTCATTCATGTCGAGAGATACAGGAATGGTACTTTTTCCGAGGTTTGTATAATATTTTATTGGCAATCATTTAATAAAACTAGGAATATTATTATAATAATAAAAAAACGCTACATCTATAGTATTACGGTTTATTTCGGTAAAATATTAACACTTGATAGGCGATGCACGATTGATAGCTAAAAAAACTCATACCAACCTTAAATTATCTCAATTTTTTTTAACAAATAAAATGTCCGGTAGAAAAGTTGATTGCATACTCTAGATACTTTAATTTAAGATTTATTGTTTAAATCGACAATGACGCCCCCGCGGGTCGGAAACGGCTTCATTTCTAACCGCTTACGTGTTATTACTCACCGCTTTCAGCACTTTTTAAAGTGTATCCATGGAATCGCTCACTTTCCAAACTTTAAAGTAAAAATAAGGTGTATGTTACTCACTGATTGTGTACTAGTATTATATCATATCGAGGTGGACAGTGTCTCATTCATTACTTTCGAGAAAAAAGATTGAACTATTTCTTGAGAAAGAATGAAAATTTAGCTTTTAAAAAATAATGCAGAAATTGACGTTTATAACGCGATTACAATTGTTATATTTTAGCTTAGAGAGTGACATTCACTTCTGACTAAAAGCTAGAAAGTGACATCATTATGTCACTTATCTGTCACTTTCCATCCTTGAGATGGAAGTGAAGAAAGAATCAGTCATCAGTACTTGCTAAGATAAAACTGATTTTGGCAATGACATACCCTCTAAGGAAAGAGAAGGTGAGTGGGCGGAGATAGTGGCTGCTAAGATAAGATCGATTTTCCAAATGAGATCCCTCTAGGAAAAAAGATGGTGGGTGGGCGGGGCTAGTACCTTCTAAAATAAGACCGATTTTGGCAAATGACATATCCTCTAAGAAAAGAGAGGGTGGGTGGGCGGGGCTAGTACCTGCTAAAATAAGACTGATATTGGCAAATGACCTACTCTCTAAGAAAATAAAGGGCGAGTGGACGGGGCTGATACTTACGAAGATAAGACTGATTTTGTCAGTATTGGCCCCGGTCGCCCACCCTTTATTTTCTGCCATTTGGCAATAGCAGTTTTATACTAGCAAATAATAGTCCCGCCCACCCTCTCTTTATTTTCTTAGAGAGTGGGTCATTTGCCAAATTCAGTCTTATTTTGGCAAGTACTAGCCCCACCCACCAGGACTTTATTTTGTTAAAGGGTATGTTATTTGCTAAGATAAGAGTGATTTTGGCAAATGGGCGAGTGGACGAGGCTGGAACTTACTAAGATAAGACTGATTTTGCCAAATGACATACCCTCAAAGAAAATGAAGGGAAGAGGGTATATCATTTGGCGAACTCAGTCTTATCTTGGCAAGTATTGGCCCCGCCAACCCACCCTTTATTTTCTTCAAGGGTATCTCATTTGCCAAAATCAGTCTTATCTTAGCCCCGCCCATCCACCCTCTCTTTTCTTAGAGGGTATGTCATTTGCCAAAATCAGTTTTATCTTAGTAGGTAATCCAAACTGTAAAAAAAAAAAATTAAAGTGTCACATTGCTGACCGATTGTGAATAAAAGAATGAAACACACAGTGAGATGCACTATTAAAATGTAAATGCTTGAAGATTATAATATTTTAGGATATTATTATTAAATTTATTTATCCGTCGATAAAATATTGCAACACAAAAACAACTTTTTACTGTAATTTTTTTTGTGATCCACTGCGTTGTTAAAAAAAATGTAGGAAACAGGAATAACTTGGCAACATCACATCGGAATTTTAAAAATAAAATATCCTCTTAAAGCCTAAGATAAACCCAATCGGAACACCTCAAAATATAACGGCTGAGCAACAGAAGGTTCTGGAAGCAAAATTTTGATTTTTGAGTTTGTACTTAATCAATATAATTGTATTAAAATTATTGAGTTATCAAAGTCTTGACGTTTAAACTCAAATGTTTGACAGCCAGAGAGAAACAGGTTAAGAAGTCGACACAAAGTTTTTGAAACAGGTCAACTGTGATCATGAATTATGTTGCTCACACGTTATAGGTTTTCTACTAAAAAATACCATATGATCGGAAAAAAGTCTTCTAGTAGCCCATGAAATTTAATTTTAAAATAATGATGTTGGCATTGTAGCTATTTGACACTTTATTTGACAGTTATTTGACTGTAATTGTCCAACTGGAGTATTTTTTCGGTCATAGAAGCTCCACGCCTAAAAAAATGAGGATGCCACCAGAAATACAATTTCAAAACCATCTCTGAAATTTCATCTCAAAAAAATGAGTTATCCGTTTTGTTATAAGAACATTGATCTAAGGTCAGATACTAACTGCCATGTTAAAATTGACGTTTCGGCAGAATTAATGGAAAATGTATGGCCAAAAAAAATATATATATACATAATGATTTTTATACAATCGTGGCCAGAAAATCTTATACGTTAATGTCGTCCAGGTGTCATAAAGTGTGAACCGTCTTTAAGTAGCAAGTGACTATTAATGCTTATTTTTTTATCAGGTTGGCAATCTATTTAAAATTTTATCATGGCACACCTGATTGTTAAAGTGACAAATATGACAGCTGCCATCGTCTCAACCAATCAACTCGTTTGTTAGTCATGGTCATGTCAAAATTAACAACTGTGAACTGATAATACTAGCATGGATACCAATAATTCGGAATTACCAACACAAAAATTTACTTCAATCATTAATGGTTACCCTTATTTTTTAGTTTTGTCATTTTTGACTACTACGTGACAAATTTTTTAAACTTCAGACGCCAAAGTGACAACAAGGCATAAACTACATCAAAGTTTTCAAAATAAGCAAAAAATTATATATTATATATTCCGACTGTAGAAAAAATGCGGCTATAGGACATATTCTGACGAGGTATTGTTTTGAATTTGTTTGATTTTCATCTAAAAATTCTAAATAATGAAAATCAAATAGCAAAAATGATGTTTTAATTAAAGAAAATTATGATTGTAAATGTCAAAGATTGATATTCATTTGTATTGTTGGTTGCGGTTTGAATTTTTTAAAAGTGGAGTTTTTCGTAAATAACCCTATAATTTGTTTACGTTATGCGGCCTAAAAAGCGATGCAACTTTGGTCGTTGAGTTTAGTAATAATTAAGGAAATATCGAGGAGACTTGACTTATCACTCTTATCAGTGATTTTGTGTACAGGTGTCCCTTCACGACCTTATATCTTAAGAACGGATAGAGATATTGAAATTCTGTAAACGCCATTGTTTTTTGCTTGAACGGGAACGCTTAATTTGGTACGTTCCAAATATGATGCACATATGGTGTCGGTGTCGTGACGCAAATCTACATTTTTTTTTTTTATTGCGATTACAATGATATACAAGACTTACCTAGATATTTATTTCATTTTCAGTTGAGAAAAAAATAAAATTTATATAGGTACTTGGAAAAATGAAAGATAAAGTCGCGGAGTTTCGACTGTGACATTTGTATATGTATTAATGAAATTTGTAATTCCTACAAATACATACAATCGAAATGCATATCTGAATTACAAATCAACCCAAAAGTTGCGTTTGAATTTTAATAAAGATTTATTAGTATATTTTATCGTCCGATGTTACAATAATTATATTATGTTGATACTTTTCTGTAGAATTACAAACTCAAACGATCTCACAGACTATATTTTTTGAAAAATCACATTCACGCAAGCACTCGAATCAGTTTTTGTTTCAGCATTAAATAATTTATAAAAACAGATAAAGATCGAAAGAACCAACAGATGAAAATTTTTAATATTAAAGAATTTTGTGCCATCTTAATTGGAATATTTTTATTGACTGGATACACGAGCCACCGTTTCAGTCGTTTGTCAAGGACTTTTTATTTGAGAATAATCAACAACTTTTCACATTCGACCTCATACTCGGGCTACAACAAATGCTATATATAATTTTCAAGATAATAAAACCAGCTATTATTGCAACCTAAGTAAATCATCAAACTGAAGATCTTACTAGTGTAATTCAGGTGTAGTAAGTGACCTGAATAATAGGATTTTTGTCCAGTTTACACTATTAAAGTCAAAAGAAATAGGAAAAATATACATCATATTCAAAATAATGAAGGAAAAAGGTTTTGAAGAGTTGATTTTGTTAAAATAATGAAAAACCCTACTTAAAGTGAATAAAATATCTCAAAATCTTTAAAGCTATAAAAAATACACGCATTTCCGCGCAGCCACAATAAATGTACAAGAGTTATAATATAACACTCGACGAGAGCTGGAGTTGCGATTTTCGAGTAAACTGTGAAACCGGTTCTAAGACACCTGTTTTCTAACCAACAGGTACATTAAGCTGGTTACTCTTGCGTTTATCACGTATGGGTGGCAAGTGTAAATATTGTACATAATTCGCTATCATGATCATCTTATTAACTTAAAATCAATAACCGTACATCTTGATGTTTTGGTATATAAATAACGTATTAAATATATATGTACACTCGTTGTTTGTAAAATAATAAATTGAACTGGGGAAAAACGATGTGCTTGCAACGCCTCGCCGTGAGAAACCGAAAATGTAGTCCCGATCTGGCTATAAGAAATTAAACAAAAAATATTAAAGTCTTCATTAAAAAAGTATCATTTTTAAGTATGTTGTTCTGACTCCATTCTTTTGTGCAGAAAGACATTGATTTAATAAGGGACTTTAAATCGTAGTGTTTGAACGTATTCAGTTAAGTATACGAGTATTATATATTTATCACTTTTATTTCAGTAGGAGTATGTTTAGTAAAAATAAACAGTTTATTACATTAATTATATTAAAAATACTAGCTTAGGAGTATCTATTTTTTATTTTCTTCAAACTGTACGGTCATAAAAAAGCTTTGTGTAAACCCTAGCGAAAAACTGCATCGACCTTTTCCTATAAATAATATTTCTTTCAGATTTGAAAGATTTTACATCCAAGTCCTTTGAGCCTCCATTCCCGGACGAGTCCAGGGAAGTAGTAGCAGCAGAGGGAAGTCTGTTCCAGTTATCATGTTTAGAACCCGACAGTTTACCTCCGGCAAAGAAATGGTGGTTAAACATAGCAGGGCATACAATTTCTGATTCCGGCGAAGTGAAAGTGGACGACGATGGCAGATTAATAATAGATTCGGTGAAAATGAGCCAGGCTGGAAACTATACCTGCGTAGCGGAAAATATGGCGTCTAAAACTGAGGAAACTGTTGAATTAATCGTCCTAAGTAAACCTGTGATTACCTTACATCCCTCGAGTGTAACTGTTGACGAGAATGATCCGTCAGTTTTAACGTGTGATTACGAACCCAGAACACATTTCACGACAGTAAGGTGGAGGAAGGACGGGAAAACAATGAAGCATGATTTTAATGAGTCTCCGTTGGATCGTCAAAGGATTAAAATTTTTAAACATAACGCTACGCTGCTGATACGATCAACTGAAACGCAGGATCGAGGAGAATATGTGTGTGAATTAGTAACGAAGGGTTTTGAGCCCGTTCTGTCGCAGCCAGCCACTATATCTGTGATTGGTGAGTACTTCTGGGGTAGAGGGAATTAATTTTTTAGTAGGTTGTCTGGTGTAGGTGTAATTTATTTTAGGGTTTAGTTTTTCATATGGTAAAAAGTTCACGCAATGTACGGTTTTCAAAATGCAACGAAGAGAAATGTTTGCTTTTAGTGAGCAAATCTTGTTTAAAAGTATATACAGAGTGTCCCGGAATTTTTAATTTATAATTCGACTTATTTGTTTCTTTTATTATTCTTAAACACTAATTGTTGTCTTTATAAGTCATCTTCAAATTTTGAATAAAAAAGCCACAAATTTTTGCAAATTAGCCGCTATTAAATTTGTACAAAAAAAATCTTTAAGTAAAGCCCCCTATTGTGAGCCACCTTGTTTGAAAATTTTTACAGTAATGTTACAAACAAAACATTAAGCCTTAAAAGCAGTGTCAATAAAGTAAAAATGGAACAGAATTTAAATTTAAAATTGTATTCTGCAGTTACCATACTTTTCATAATTTAGGATATTTCCTTTTTAATGGGCCGCAGAATACGAAAATGTAGGTTTTCGGTTGTTTTATTAGTCTGTCGTCTGCCTGTCTATATACCTCTTGGTTTTATTAGACATTGAAGTCAATAGTTTTGTAAACTCGATTCCTCTGGAATTGTACGTGTATGATGATGTGGAGCAAAAAACAAATATTGATCGATGTTCTGTAATCATGAAGTCAACAATGTTAGCCTTTGGCAAAAATTTGAAAAAAATTCCTTACGTAAATTTTAAAAGAAAGTTTTCAAATGTTGTTATAAATATAAATGTACTAATAAACTGATAAGGATTACTTGGCAAAATTTTGAGATGACGTCACAAATTTTTGGTGGGGATAAACATACAGTTTCCGACAAAAAATTTCAAACATCACTTTTCTGTCATGTCAAAAATTTTAATGTAGTCTATGCTTTATTGTCATTATTTCGGACAGCGGAAATGTCAAACTTGCAAAATTCCATCTTACGCTACAGCTACATTCATGTAAGTGTCAAATGTAAAAGTTAAAAATGACCGTCAAATATTTAGGTTAGAAACATCTAAAGGTTGCTTTACACTATCTGACGACTGAATGACATTGACGTCTGAAATTTTTTGGCGGCAACTGTGTGTATCAACTTTGGTTAGTGTGCTGCATATATCTAATAGTACTATTAGATATATGGTGTGCTGCTATTTTACATTTTTACAGTAACATAAAATTACAGAATAATCATTTATTAATTTCGAAGATTATCTGTATAATCAAATCGCAGGCAGATGACAGACCATGGAAGGGAAAAATTGATATTTTCTTTTTCTACGTGCTGTGAATTATCAAGAAAGCATAAAATGTGACCCTGTTATAGTGCTTCTTTAGCTTCTTTCACTAGGGAAGTAAAATGTATGTTATTCAAAAAAAAATAAATTTAACACAAGTGATTAACCCTTTAGAACAATTTATTTCAATAACAAAATAATGTAATTTCTTGCCTATTTTTTTTACAAATCCATTTTCCTTATTTGTGGCGTTACTGCGTTTGACAATTAATTTTTGTTTGTAATTAAAATATCTGTTGTAAATCACGTGACAACTTGACAATACTAATCGCTAAATTTCATATTTGTTCCTAAATTCCTGTGATAAAATCTGTACAATATATTGTGATAACTCAAACATCCCGCCAGAATTGAGAAATGTACACAAACTGAGGCAACAAATTTAAATATGAACGAAGTACAATTATATCTGTAGTCCAAATCATAGATCGCGGTTACAGCATCGATGGCTCTGGTCAAGGCGATCGAGCTTCTCTCAGTTTTTGGCGTTATGTTTTGTTATGTTGCCGTCTTATCCATTTCCTCACGGGCTATCAGGTCGAAGGGCAAGTGCATTCCACGGAGGAATGGGTTACCCTGTTCGTAACGGTATTTAGAATAATATCTGGATCATTTGTATTAAAATCCTCCCTACTAACATTGTTTCAACTGACCGATGAACTTCAACTGGTTCATTCAGTTACGCATAGACATCTCTTTGTACAGGTGAACACGTTAATCTGAAATTTGAACTCCCGAAGTTGTGAGCAGGATGATGTTAAATTAATTCAGTTTATCAAAAGGAGTTCACAAAAACTGCATCGTAGACTCAACGAATTCCCTTATCACATAAAATAAACTGCATATGAAATAAACACAACAGGCACATATCAGATGCGGTAAAAATTAAAATAATAATCTGAGAATAAATGTTCGAATTCAGGGTGTAAGAAAATATTAAATCTGTAAGAAAATGTTAACTGATTTTCGAGTCCCCGATATTATTTTAACAGAAAAAACTTTCAGGGTCCTGTCTCACAATGGATCAATGTTTAAAATTAGCTTAAACACTACTAATGAACTATTTTAAATTTCGAGTGAGAAGTTTATGAAGTGCGCATTTCTAATACGTAATTTAGTAAAAACAGAACTTTAGATATATCGTTATTAAAATAAGTTCAACGTGAATAAGTAAATTTCCTGTCACGTGCTCTACAGTATCATTTCTATTAGTTAAATTATTTTAGGACCTTGAACAGTTAAAAACCTTAAAATAAACTGTGAATTTACAAACAATAAAAAAAGAGTGCACGTTTTGATAAATCCCCAAAATTTCACAACACTGAAATCATTAACTGGTCTCTCTCACTTGGTACGTTTGTTGAGAGGGGACTGCGGTGTCGAATGCTATTCATTTTTGTTTAAACAATTATTCTTTAGTGAAATTATACACAACATTTTAGGTGTCAATTTTAACATGTGTTTTCACTCACAACACCAAAACAAGAAGTAACGCGCCAAAAATAAGAAGTGAGTGTCCTTTTAGAATTCTACCTGCACTGTCTTAAGACACCTTAGAATGGAGGATTTTTTCGCTATTTCACACTACTGGAATATTTTTAAAATTTTTCGAATACAGTTTCGCGGATGGGTGGAGCTAGTACCTGCTCAGATTAAACTGATTTTGGCAAATGAGATACCCTCTAAGAAAAGAGAGGGCGGGTGGGCGGGGCTAGTACCTCCTAAGATAAAACTGATTTTGGCAAATGACATACCTTCTAAGAAAAGAGAGGGCGGGTGGGCGGGGCTAATACTGGCTAAGATAAGACCGATTTCATCAAATGACGTATCCTCTAAGAAAATTAATTAAATTATTATAAGAAAAGACACTAGAGGCTCCAAAGCACTTTCAAATTCTTTCCAAATAGGAATACCTAGAACCTCAAGACTGTTTTAAGTTAAACAAAATGAGGTCCCAAAATTAACTCAAAAACATACCAAAGTCCCCCAAAATTCTCTTAAGTAATTTACAAAAAAAATCACCATGGGCTCCCATGGGTATCCAAACACAGGTATTAATATTTTCAAATCGGGACACCACAATATGTGTCCATTTTATTCCTAATCTGATTTTCATATTTCATATTAAATATCTGTTCATCAACGTTGCTTTTATCTTTTGCTCTTCATACTGATGACTGTATCAGCTCTAAATACTGTATTTTTAAAAGACGAAGAGTAATAAATCATAAATTCATAAAATATATTATCATATTTTGAAAATATGTATCTTTTTATACTTGGCAATCTTACAGAACAACTGAAGTTTGTACCTCCACCCGTAAATAAGAAACTGGAACTTTTAAGTGTAGCAAGAGTTCACTGTAAGGCTCAAGGAACACCACCGCCAATCATCACATGGGAAAAAGATGGCGTCCCGCTCGAATACTCCGACTCCCGTATTAGTAGCATGAACGGAACTCTTATATTCAACAAAGTATTAAATGAAGATAAGGGAAAATATACATGTACGGCTAGTAGTAGCCAAGGAACAATTAATATGACTATCAACATTGATGTTGTCGTGGCTCCAAAATTCAGTGTCCAACCTAAAAACCCTACAGAAGCTACAGAGGGTCAGTCAGTCACTATAGACTGCGTGGTTGAAGGCGACCCCAAACCCACAATCCACTGGGACAAAAATTTAAAAATGAACGATTTCGATCAATCACGATTTACTGTTTTGGAAAATGGTACTTTATTCATTAGTGAAGTTCACAGAGATGATGAGAATAAGTATGGATGCACGGCGGGTAACAGCGCTGGGCTGAACAGACAAGAAGTACAACTAATTGTTCACTGTATGTGTATTAATTTTCATTAAATTTTGAAACTAATTAAAAATTATTTTTAGCACGAGACGGTTTCCTACCAGAAGGTGACTCCACGGTGACCAAAGCTGTGCTAATTACGATGTCTGTTGCTGGAGCGTACATTGTTTTAGTAATCGGTTTGATGGTGTGGTGCAGGTACAGAAGAAGATCAAGAAAAGTTCCTGTCACTGATGGTATAGTAAAAATTTATACACATTATTATGTTCTAACGGAAAATTTCAGCTGCAAAAACCGAAAATGGCGACTTAGATCATGCCGAACTTAAAGACGGTGTGAATGGACGTTGTGCTGGCACGTCAAAACTCGAAACGAACGGTATTGAATCTTTGAAAGATGGCCAAAAAAGTGACGGAGCAGAAACTACACACTCTCAAAGCTCAAGTCAATCGAAAAAATCTAAATCCAACTATGATAAATTAGCTTTATCAAGGAGTCACCTCAGAGAGACAAAGTTGATTGGTCGTGGCGAATTTGGAGATGTAATGGTAGCCAAAATTTCAAAAAGTGCACTTTCATCTGAGAAACGGAATTCGCAAGCCAGTACACCGAGTTCGACTGAGGACAAAGAATTAACAGTATTGGTGAAAGCACTAACCCAAACCAAAGATGAAAATTCTTTGTCTGAATTTAAAAGGGAACTCGACATGTTTACTAAAATGTCGCACGACAATGTAACGAAATTGTATGGTTTATGTCGGGAAGCAGAACCTCACTACATGATCCTTGAACATACAGATTGGGTAACATTTTTTAACGACACTGTTGACTTTTTCTTTGACAGAAGTTGTTTCAGGGTGATTTGAAACAATTTTTAGTTGCTACTCAGAAGGGATCGTCACCTCCGTTAACACCAGTTCAGTGTGTGGGGATAGTTCATCAGCTGTGTCAAGGTTTGGACCATTTGGCTTCTACTCGTTTAATACATAGAGATTTAGCAGCAAGAAATTGTCTAGTCACTTCCGCTTTGAAAGCTAAAGTTGGTCTTCCACGACTTACTAGAGATCCTTACAGTCAAGAATACTGTAAACATATGAATCAGGTATGTACCTTAATGAAGGAAGAAATAAATTATTGTTGTTCGTATTTTTAGATAATTCCATTGCGGTGGCTTCCATATGAGGCAGTGTATGAAGATGAATATTCTACTAAGAGTGATATTTATTCTTTTGCTGTTGTTGTATGGGAAATATTTAATCAAGGCGAATTACCTTTCTCTAAAATGAATGATACAAGCTTTCTCAATAAGCTAAAGGAGAAAAAACTGGAATGGAAGCCTCATTCCTCAACCCCAGAATCTTTACAGAAGTTACAAGTAAGTTTCTTATTAAAATTAGTGTATTAACCAAATAGGTTATTTAATCGTTTGTACAATACTAGCATTTTTTTTTGTCTTTTAGGAAAACTGCTGGGACATTAATCCACAGAATAGGCCGACATTCTCCGAATTAGGTAAAGAAATCGAAGACATACTTAAGTCCATGTAAATATTTTATTTATTACAAAACGAAAGTCATATAAACCAAATTTAGAATATGAAATTAATAATCATATAAGCTTCCAGTTTATTGAAAACAAATATTAAGTATTAATTGCAAGATTGAACGCAAATTGTGTCTTGTGTGTACTATTATTGTAATTTTTTTATTTATATTAGCAGCTAAGTTTTATGAGTTTGTAAAATTTATAAGATTTTTGATCTCAAATTATACTTGGCTAAAAGAAGTCTATAAAATTGTACATATCATTTTTTTATTTAAGTATGTAGGTAATGTATAAAGCATATCATTAAGGTAATTTTAAGTTACATTATTGTATATTGATTGTCTTGAGCCACGAAGCACTGCCAAAATACTCTTGAAGACAACGTAATATACAATCGAGTACATAGACTGTTTTACAATAATGGTATTGTCAATAATACAGTGTAACAATATTTGTCAATCATATTCCAACTTCAATAACAAGTGTTCTTTGCTCATAGCTTTTTATATTGCACATTTTTATATAGGTACTATTATACATAGTCTTTGTAGTTTTCAGGATTTTATTGTAGTTTGTTTTTACAATATTCAAAGTTCACATTGTACTAATGTAATAGCATGACATTATCAGATGTACGTTATAGTCTATCCAACGCTTTTATACGCAGTCAATGTAGAAAAAAATGTAAAGCCTAACACGTTATAATGAGGCTTTGCTGATACCAGTGTTTCTCAACTAGATGTGGACAATTAAAAACCAGTGTTTTGACTATGAAAATATTCGAACTTTTTTTAATGTACCTATACATGTTTGTACTTAAATGATAAATGTACATTATTAAAAAATATTGTTAATTATCCCATCAAAATGTAATGCGGACTATTATTAATGAATTACATTTGTATGATACATGATCTGTCCATATATTTTAGTGACGTAGCTTTTTATAATGATTTTATACCGTATTGTCCATTTTTATATAATTATGCATAATCATCTCTTGTGATACGTATTCTAAAATACAAAAATATACCAACAAATTGTATTAATAACCCCGGATTTTATTAAGTTTAATTAAAATTTCGCGTTAAATTGCCATAACATTCTATAAACTTATATCTAAAAGGATATTGTATTCGTAGAGGTACGTTATGGTAGGAGGCATGTGTTTAATTCCGTCAGCCTGTCAATGTTGCAATTACATACCATTAAATTTTAGAGTTACTGCTCAGTTTGATATCAGTGGTGTTCCCAAGCATTTCAAATTTTAATAAGCGACAAAAACAGTGGTATTCAATGTGTTACAGCGGTAGTTAGTGCCCAATTTCATTTTTTTTTTTCATAAATGGTACCCAAGGACCACACTTAACATATAATGACATCCTATTTTAATAATACTATATATTTTTACTTCCCGAGCGTAAGCGAAAGAAGTATTCTAATCGAGTCCATCGGACGAATCGCCACTTTTATGTTTCTCGACGTTTCATGACCCCTACAGTACGAAAAAAGTAGAAGCCTGTTTCCGTCTGTCTGGCTGTATCCATTTTTATTAGACACGTAATCTCCGAAACTGCTGGACCCATTGTTGTCAAATTTTAACAATTTTGATGACGTCATTTCAGTGAATGGTATTCTAAAATGATGTGAATGTTACTCAAAAATATACTCATATTATTATTATTATTATTAGAGTAAGTTGGTCAACAGGTTCTAGTCCCAACTACAGACCAACAGATATATACAGAAAGTATAGATGTTAAACTGAAAATAAAAACTACTGTCAAACTCATCACGCAGCTATAAATTACCGCCTGACCCAGAAAGGTTGAATTATGACAATAGAACAATTAGACCGATGGGAGAAACGGCAGAGAATAGTTATCAGTGTTATCACATGAAAATGTCAAAAGTATTTTGATGTTGATTGTCCAGGGAACACATTTCAAATATGGGAGAGTGCTTTTCAATGTCAAAATGGAGCAGTTGATACTAGTAGAATGAGTAATGGCATTGGGATGAACGTCTCGGAACAGAGAATAACAATTTACTGAGATTAAGACAATCAATTTGACAGTGTATTAAGTAATTTATGCAAAAAATTCAAAAAAGCCCTAATACGTCTAGTCTGTAAGTCGTCAAAACCAAAACGTGCCAACAGTGTGCAATGGGATGAGCTCCTTGCGGAATAGGTACACGCCATCAATTCTAAAAACCAAGAATTTCAAAAATCACCGCTAAATCTTTTCGAAAGAGTGAATATGTATTTGAGAGAACGGAGCCCAAACCAGGCTCGCATACTCAAGCACGGGGCGCACATACGTAAAATATAAAGTGCGCAAGCAAGTAACATCATGGAAGTTACCGCCACATCTCAGAATAAAACCGAGACATTTATATGCACGTCCACAAATGTTAATATGATTAATGAAGGTTAATCTTGAATCAAAGGTGACTCCCAAGTCCCGAAATAAATTAACCCTGGATAGTACAGTGTCATCAATAGTTTAATTATTGTACAATATTTCTAAATTCTTATTGGCAAATGACATTACAAAACATTTCTTTAAATTCGCAGGAAGTAAATTAGTATTCCTCCTTATGCATATATAAATGTGCTATAATTAATATTCTTCACAATGTCATTGATATCTGTGGCGAAAAAGAGAGGTCCAAGAACTGTACTGATGGAACCAAAATCTTATTAGACGCATGACCATAATATTTAAGACACTGGGATCGATTAGACAGATAAGACGATATTAAAGTTAACAAGGAATCAGCGAAGCCTAAATTATGCAATTTAGCCAGTAAGATGCTGTGGTTTAATTTGTTGAATGTTTTAGCATCAAAGCTATCCGAAACATATTGAGTAAATGAACATAAGTTTGTAGTAGTAGATCGACACTGACAAAACCATGCTGGGAATCAGTAATACAACTACTAATATTAAATAATAAACATTTATGTAATACCATCTCAAAGATTTTACCGAAATTACATATTAAAGATATTGGTCTATAATAATTAACCACATCATTTTTAGCGCCACCCTTAAAAACAGGTGTTATTGTAGATAATTTCCAGATATCAGGGAACGTTTTCGTTTTTAAATTAGCTGTAAAATTGGATTTCAACATTTTTCGCCTAACACTTCAGACTCAGATATATCTGACAGGCCGATAGACACATTAGATGTAGAATCAAAATAATCGTCAATGTTGGTGACAGCACAATTACTGTAATTGTTCGTAAAATACGCATTAAAGGCATTCATATACTTGTAGTGTACGAATCCACTTTCAGTTTTTCCGCTAAACGTTCAAATTTTCGTAAAAAGATTTGCAAGGTATAATAACGTTTTACTCCCGACACGGTTTGAACGTCTCCGTGGCGCAGTGGGTGTATAATAGATAATGGCGACCTGCGGTACTGCGATTGTGGTTCGATGCCGAACTCGGCCCTTTCTTTTTTCTTGCATTGATATAACGCTGTAACTACTTTTAATTAATAAACGAGTCACCCCATTTTCTCGAAAATGTAAAGAATACGCACGTCTTTATATAATAATGATAAAATACGAATTACAATATTCAGAACATTGATCGATTTTGGTTTAGTTAATAATTTTAATCCAGTGTTGAGGCGACAAACTCATTCCAATTAAACTAATTTCTACGTGACATTCTTTCGATGAATGAACATAAATAAACAATTAAGCTTCAGATTGCTATTACCTACTGCTGAAAGGCAAGGGGTGTTATTTATGGGTATGCTGATGTCGGGCTCTTCTTCGTCGGATTCCAAAATATGTTTTTCAACTTGCAGTATTCTTTCTGTCCTATCACGGCCACGATCGTGAGTTTGAGGTTGAATGTACCATGATCTCGGAGATGCTGTACCACTGATGCAAATGTTCGCGTACACCATAAAGGAGTACCATATCGACACACTCTGAATGGGAAAAATGCACCATAAACCACCTTCCGACCGTTCGATGCAAGCAACAGTTCATGACTGCCCGTTTTCGTGTTTTTCGTTGTTGCTTATCAGTCACTTTTTTGGTTCTTAATCCGAGACGTTTTGTGCCATTGATTGAAAGAAGTAGGACAAGAAACACTAGCAGCGGGGGTGTATAACAATTTATATTTAATTTCAAATAATTTTTTCTACCACTTTGGACCGTGAATTTTACACAGTGACATAATGTTATTGTGAGCTATTCCCCATTTTGTTGAAATTTTCACAGAAGTTGAAATGTAGTACGACAAGAAAGTGATTACAATTTGAAAAAAAAATGGTAAGAATTAACAAAGTTACTTAATAATGAGTTGCCCCACCGCGATTCATTATGCACTCATTTACTCGTCGAGGTACACTTTCATTCAGATGATTAATATAGGCCTGTGGTAGCTTATGCCAAGCTTCTTGAAGACGAAGCCGAAGATCATTTAAAGAATCCTGAGTATGGGGTAAATTACCCAGTCGGTTACCGAGCATATCCTAGACGTACTCGATTGGAGACAGATCGGGAGACCGCGCAGGTCATAGGAGTACCACCACAATAGCTTCGTCCAGATACTGTGTTGTAACCCTCGCCGTGTGTGCGCGGGCATTATTTAGTTGGAAAATGGGTTTAATTAACCGCCGAAAATATGGTACTGCAACGGGCTCCAATACGTTTGCTATGTAACCTGCAGCGTTTAAATTGCCTTCAATGAAAGCTAGGGGTGATCTACTACCATAAGAATAACCCGCCAAACCATCACCACTTGCGTAAGGGCAGTGTGACGTTCAAGAGCAAGATCTAAATTTCTGCATTCTCCACGTAATCGTCTGATCCTCCTACGCCCTTCATGGGCCCACAAACAAAAACGAGACTCGTTACTGAACACCACGTTAAGGGGATGTTTGCTAAATGAAAACTGTCGGATTTTTAATTTTGCCGTGTTATTGTCTTCACAAGAAATTTGCGTGTAGAAAAATAAAGACGAGAAGTACTGGTAAGCTGGTTGAAACTCAGGAAAGCTGGGGTGTAATTTATGACACCCATAATCTCAGGTAACAGTTCGGCACCCGCTTGTCGTGTATTATTGTTCGATTTTCGTTCGTCAACAGTTCAATTTTCATATACGAATTTATAAAAATGACCACAAGAAATTAATAAGAAATAAAAATCTGAATGTGTACAAAAATGAACTTCGAAAAATTAAGACAACAAATAGTAAGACCAAACAATTATAATCTAATTGGGAAACTGATTGATTTACAACAAAAAAAGCAGTCAGCCGAATAATTATAAATGCAGTTATTTTTCGGACACAAAACAATCACTTACGCAACACTTAAAAAGATTTGTGGCAAGTAAAATAAAATCAATTTTAAGTGTCCAAATGGTTCTACTGAGTGTGTCCCGATACTGAAATGCAACGAGAAAATCACCAATTTGTGCATCAGTACGTACCTATATGTCATGATGTAATGCAAATTATAAAATAAACTAGAGGCCAATAATTTGTTTCGTTTTTATTTATGCGTATTTATAAATATACCCAATTGTTTTACTTAAAACTAAGTACTTCAATTATTTGGATTACATATTTCAATTATAACTGGTTCCCTAGCTGGTTAGTATCGGCTAAGTTCAAACTAAAGAGGTATAGAAACTACCTGTGTATACTGAATGGTTATCCGGCTAATTATAAGGTTTATGGTAATCTTTTATTCAACAAAATAAAATTCTTTCAGGTAATACACTTTGATCTTTGACAAAAAGCCGAGAAGCAATAGGATTGGTGATTATAAAAAGTAACAATAATAAAATTTCTATTAGTAACATTGACTTACACTTTATGTAAGTGTATAAAAACAGCGACGGGTCTAAAAAACAATAATATTTATATGTACAGAAATTAGGAAATAAAAGCATAATAATAGTAAAACTAATCAAATGATGATTAAACTGCATTTTTTGTTTGTAGTTTTAGTAGGTTTTTGACGTAATAATTCTGATAAAAGTTTTTTCGACTTTTTCGTGGAT